AAAGGCTTCCCTCATAAAAATTAAAAAGCAATTATCACTCCTGGACATTGCATGCATGAATAGTAGTGAACTGTAAATAAACCTAAGTAATACAAAATAACAACTTTGCCCTCCGTTTTCAGATAACGATGAAGAAAAAAATGGCATTGTGCCTACATGTTTACTAAAAACACATTGATTGGAAGTATACAAACTCTACTAAGCAACAGTCATGGCAAGATTTATTCTTGTAAAAAAAGTAAATATTTAAATGTAATAGTAAAAGAAGACATACTAAATAAAAGTAAGGAAGTTGTCCTACCTTGTTTTGGAGTGGTTTTGTCTACAGGGATACCACATCCACGTAATTTTAGGCTGAGGAATACCGTACACAGTGCATGTCAGCACTTGTTTGCTGCTCAGTAAATACAGATTGGGATCAGGGAATGATGACACGGCATTTTCGTATATCTGGGGTTTCACTGTAAAGGGCAAAATTGGAAAGCAATTAAAACCAGCTCATTTGCAATGTGTTACATGATCATGAAAATACTACATTCCTGCAGGGTGAGTAATAAGAAAAATCCCCAGGAGAACAAATAAAGGAGAACAGCATGCCTAAATTAGGTCAGATGAGCAGTTAGTAACACACTTAAATGATCAGGAATAAGTATGTGACCATGGCAGACAGAAACCCTCCTAATGAAAACCAGTATCTGTCTTCTGATTCCAAGATGGGTCTGTCAGCCTGAATATAGTGCTTGCATTTGGGTCCACGAAAGTCAGTAAGAAAACCACAATGACCTGAACTGTGCAAGATCAAGGAAAACCCAGCTCAATTAAAATTTAGCATTTACATGTTCAGGAGAAGCATGGAAACATGCTGTAAACTTACCATTTACTGTAAGAGTGACTGTAAGATTCTTAGACAAGTTTGACTGTCTTATGCTCAGTATTATCGTGTAGTTTCCAGCATCTTCCTCAGCAACATCCTTGATGATTAATGAGTAGTCTTTAACCATGTACCGGGCACACTTTTCAGCAGCAGGTAGCCCATCTTTTAACCTGTTTCAAAGAATTCCAGAAATCAAAATTTTGAAAAATATTGTTGCTTAAACTGCCTGCGTTATTTCATTTCACAACATTTCTTGGTCTTTGGGCAAGGACTGAACTTACAGCCTGAGTTTCTGTTTACCAGAGGCTTATCCTTCCCTTACAAATAAGATTGATGATATTTATAAAGCACTTTGGAGAATACCATTCTACATATTAAAACTGATAAGGATCTGACAGGGTTTTATAGTATTTCAGAATTGTTGAAAATTGCAACTGTCTCTGAAGATCCAGTTTTCCATGCTTGTGCCGCCATTTAGTCTAGAAGATGACAATTTTGGCTAAGAGTCATTCACACAAATAAAGGTTGCATCATCCAGCACCGACCATTTCTTTACGACCTCAGAATACATCCTGGGACAAAGTATTACAGTAGCCTAACCACAGCTGTGATTTTAGGAAGAGGAAGAGTAAGTAGATTAGATAAGCACTTAAGAATCAGATATCCTGCTATCAAGTGAATGTTTTTAAAGATAGCAGAAAATCAACATAGAAAGTGCTAGTTGTTACTCACACACAGATTCCTGAAGAAGCACGTTTTTCCTCAAATTCTAAAATACAGCATAAAGCATATTTTGGTAGGTTGCGGCATGAAAGTTGACATGATTTTAGTAGAAGAGTGCAACTGAGTTTGACTATGATGGACTTGATTAAAGGTTTTAGTAAGTATTTATAGAAAACTCCTACTATTATTAGAGGAGCACTAAAAATTCTGTCTAAGGACTATGGATTGAGGCATTTCACTGTATCTGTATTTTACAGAACCACAGAATAGTTGGGGCTGAAAGAGCCTCTGGAGATTGCCTAGTCCAACCCCCTGTTCAAAGCAAGGTCAGAAGGTTGCCCAAGACCATTTTCAGTCTGTTTTTTAATATCTCCAAGGATGGAGACTCCACAGCCTCTCTGGAATACTTGTTCCAGCGTTTGATCAACCTCATAGTAATAAATAAATAGACAAATATTTTTTAAAAAATCTTCTTTAAATGGATCTTTTTTTGTATTTCAGAAGTTTTGGATCTATATGTGTAGTCAACAAGCCTAACTATTAAAGAAACAGAAAATACTATATAAAAGGCTAGCATCAGGTCCACTTTCGCCCCTTAATTTTCCTTGTGGATCTATAAATGTAAGGGTTTTGTAAAACTAAACAAAGTGTTTGGAGCAAAAGTAATTTCTGGCTGTGAGTAACATGAACTCTCACTGTACATGTATGTACGGTTTGTTTTCTTAATCAGACTTGTCATGGGCCCTTTGTTAAAGTGCAATGAATTGAGCCAGAGCTACTGGTCTTTAAAATTATTTAAACAAACAAACAAAAAAAAGCTTGAGATCATGAATAGATAACATTGTTTTATATAAAACTGGTCTGGGTTAACACAAAAAACTGTTCAAAAGATTTTTTAGCATGGTATACATGAGCCAAAGCGAACACTCCAGTCACTGAAGTAAATCTACAACCTGCAAATCACCATATAATAAAACCAGCTTCTACTGTTTTTCTGATAGTGTGTGCCTGCATGACTCAACTCAGTCAGTTATTTTAATGAAAACCTTCTTTTCTTTCTCCTACTGTCTGAAAAGCAAGTTCAGGTCTCACATCTAGGTCTGAGTGAGGTTGGATGCAACACTTCAGTCAAAGTTGATAGAGATAGTTAGCTGTAGAGTGTCCACTGATTTCAACAGGAGACACATCTAACTTCCTTGAGGATCTAAGCCTTTAACTTGCCAGGTCTCCTTTTTTGCACTTGCAAAATGGAGATAATATTTTCACAAATTGTTAAAACCCAGGACAACCCTGAAACTTCCAAGAAAACTCCACAACTGTATTGTCTCCAGTTTGTTGCCATTTCAGGGGGTCTTATTTGAGTATTTTAGCATGATATTATTTTTCATCTAAGAAGAGGTCCAGTACGCATGTGTGGAAGAAACTGTTGTCCTACCATATAACCTCTGGAGAGGGAAACGCCTTCACTTTCATTGACAAACGATAGGATTTTCTTCCAGCTACAGCCTCCAGTGCAGTTTTTCTTCGACGTCTCAAATTAATGAACATTTTATCTTAAACAAAAGAAAAAAGGGTGCATTTCATTACTGATTTTCAGCCTGCAGAAAGAGTTGTTCTACTAAAGAGAACAGGAATCCAAATTAAAAAGATCTTTAATAATTTTGGTGTTCCCTCATGGCAACAGCAAGAATAAAGCCTAACCTGCTAGAAATCTATAAAATATAGAGAAGAATACCACAAATATATAAGAAACTGAGAGACAGCTCCCAGGCCATGAATTTGCCTGGAGAACACACATTGTGTGTTCACATTGTGCTTGAGTCAGAAAAAAAGGCACAAAAGATAAGGTGGCTTGTGGTACGTGGGAAGCTGAACTAGATGATCAGATGACCTTTCCTAAAGGCCAAGAATCAATGAATGTTCCAAAAGAAAATATTCTACCAGAGAGGATTTAAGGGATCTTCAGAGAAACAGCAAAGGAAAAGGCAGAAACTTTCTGTATCATTGGTAAACAGCTGTTTCATCAAACAAACAAACCTTTATCACTTCATTGGAACAATCTCAACCTGCTGGAAGTTGTTCTTTTCCAGTTGTACTACCTCATATTTCAAACTCTCTGGCAAGTTATGGACTGCATAAGGATGTTGGATATCTATTAAACATGTGCAATATTTAATCACACTTGCCACGTACATTGAAAATAACATGCACAAGACAGATGAGTAGTTTAATTACACAAGTCAAGTTACAAAGATGGAACCCTGATTCTGCAAACTCTTATTCTTTCTAAGGTGGGTATCCCATAGATGGGGCTGCTTATGTGAGTAAGAGTTTACAGGCTAGCTTTGACAGTTCCAGCTTCTCCAGCTTTAATTTTAATCTAAAACTCAGCTTCTGGAAGCTTCAGCGTGTCTGTTTAAGAATAAAATAAGTGGATATCATGATTTATCCTGTGCTCTCAGTGACTTACTCCAGGGTTTAAATAGAGAAAATGGACTGAAATATTCTCTAAGAATACAAACACAGGGTGTTTGTCCACACTTCCCGACGAGACAGAAAAGGCAGACCACTGAAAACATGGAACAAATCAATATTCTGACCATGAGCCATCTGTCATAGAGGACACCCACCAACTGCTTAGTCTTTCATACCAGTGACGCTCCAAAGATCCCAGATAGTCCTAATTTTAACAGGATGCCACAAAGAAGGTAGCTTCTCATAAAGTCTCAATGCACAAAAGTCCTAATTCACATTAATTTGAAATAACACCAGAAATTTCCAGATTTCACAGAAAGCCCGGGCGGACCATAAGGAACTCATTTAAGACTCCCACTGGAAAACCATATTAATGCATTGCAGTACCTTGCTTAACTTTTCTGAATGGTTTAGCAGCTACCTGCTTCATGTATAGCTAGTGTGTCTGCTGCTTCTTCATTTTTCGAAGAAAACAACAAGTAGCATAGAAGAGAAAGTGGGATTCTCCTATGTAAATTCAGCTTGTACACTTCTTACTTTTTTTTTTGCAAACTATAACTGATTGCTTCTGCCAGAACTGACTGAGGACAGTATTTAGCAGACAAGAGTGATTAAACTGAACATTAGCGTGTCTACTGCTAACAATACAAAACAGTCATGGGAGAAAAGGCACATGTTCTCTCTGGTCTCCCTCCTTTTTCTGCCAATGATGAACATGCTACAAACTCCCACTTTGTGTCAAGATGTAGAACTATCACATGACTGAACATGGTACATGAGCATTCAGTATTCTACAAATCTGCACACTTCTTACCATAAACAATGACGGTTGTGTTAACAGCTTTGATTGATGGCCCACTCTTCACGTGGCAGGTATACTGGCCTTTATCAATATCACGCACTTTGTCAACAACAAGGATACTATAAAAAATATTGGCTTCTGTATTCTTCTGGTCAATCCGCTGCGTTACAGAACCTCTCTTCCTTGCCTACAAAAGCGAAAATGAACAAGAAAGAGCTTAATCAAACCAACTGTCATGATTATTAAGATTTTTATTTTACTGTATTGTCACAAAACCTTAATAAAAATATCCCAATCCCTCTGTACAGCACAGACATGCAAAAGTTGCCTAACATTCCCAGAGGGTTAACAATAAAAATTGCAAGTTACATTATATGGCAATGCATTCCTATCTTCACCAAAGTTGTAACAGCATCCAAACTAGTTCTTTCCAGACAAAGATCATCCCTTCTGTATGGCCTGCCATACCAACACACCCAGTTCCCCACTGCTCCTTGTCCAGCATTGTTTGTAAAAATCCCCAGAGTCACTGGCACATAGTTTGGTGCCTGAATTCAGTGTCCATAGGCAGCAGACATACAGAAGAAGAGGACATTACCACAAGAAGGGGAGAATTCTGGAAACACTATAGAATGAAAAGGGACTAGGTTTGGCACGGGAATAACAGGGTGGAACTGAAGATAATGTGAGTCTGAGGAGTTATTTCCTGCAACTCCCCCTCAGCCTTTGGCCTCAAAGTTTATTTAACCCAGGACATTGCTGGTGTCTCATAAACACTGAGCACCCTTCAGTTACCATTCAAATAAAAACAAAGTAGAATTTCACAAGTGTGGTGCCTGGCTAGGGCTTGGTAAGGCAGCAATGAGCAACATAATATATTTGGAGCATTTCTGGTTGCTAAGTTGTTTATTGCTGAGGTGAAAAAATGACAGGGAAAATGGCTACAGTATGCAAGAAACAATTGCATTAATCTTCCCTATATAATGTAATCATAATTTCAGCTTGTGATTAGGCACAGTAAGTGACATAATAAATGATCTTGACTTGAATCATCAGCATAAATCAAACTGACATGAAAGAAATGGGAGTTGTAAACCTTAAAATAATGTCAAATTTCTTATCAGCTTTAGACGGACTCCCTGGCAGTTATTCTGTAAGCGACAAATATTTATGAGGATGCTCCCAATGTGAAGGGAGGAGAAGCACATTCAAGATCATTCCTGTAGTTGTCAAAACAAGAGGATTGTTCATGTGACACTTAACAAATGAGATTTTGGCTAGCTAAATCAAAATATCTTTTCTAAACATGCTTGAGTCGGGTGCCTGACTGTCTGCCAGTCTTTGAGATGAATGTGTTGAGAAAGACAGCCTCGCTGAAAACTTTTTTGTCACAAGAGAGCCCCTGCCTGGGACTGGGAGATAAATTTCTACCATTTCTCCAGGTCAAAAAGCAGCTCCCAGGGATGAAACAGTTCAGGCGTTCGCTCACAATTATGTAACATAACCAGAGTACATTGTGTAAACATGTTTACTTACTCAATTAAGCACCAGAAAGAAAAAAAGAAACCTTTAAAGACATGTCAGCAAGGGTCAAAATGATGGAATGCGAACCATGGCAAGCATTTTGAGGCAAAATTCCTCCCAGGATGCTAGATGCACAATCTATAGGAAATCCTCGGGTTCTTCATTTCAATCACAGCACTCACCTGTCCAGGATAAGTCCAAGTCATCTGCACTCTGGTGTTCCAGGCTGCAGTGACAGTGCAGTTAATTGCCAGGCTGTCTCCTTTCAGCAACTTGACAAGACGTGGGGTGCTTAACTGAACATCAAAAATTGTGTTGGCTGCACATGATGAAGAGAAAGGAAAGTGAATAACTTCACCAGAGCAGAGTGCTTAATGAAAAGACAGGGAGCGGAGAACACTACTTACTTTCTCGGTGCGTTAGGTACTTCGTGCTATACTTGTGTCCACTGACGGTTGTCTCACAGCTCAGGAGCCCTATGAATTTGTAGGTTGCCTTAGGTATTCTGAAGCCTTTCATGCTGTCCCAGATTATTGTCTTGCCATCAGGAATTAGGGTTTCTCGTGGAATCTGGAAGTGTCAAACACGCATCATAAAAACAACTCATCCTCATGCCACTCTCTAATCAAAGCAGCCTAACAAAAAGGAATGGGGAAAAAAAATACCCTAAAAAATGCCAATCAACATAGAAGGGATGACATTTAATTATGCAGATTTTTCAAGTCACATTTTCATCACAAAATAGAGGAAAAAACTGGGTGAAGAACATGAACATTTTATTCGTTTCCAAGATTTCATTATTTATAACAGGATGTAATTTATGACACAATAGATTGACATTATCATTAGCCTCAGCACTTGGGCTGCTATTCTGTTGACTCCTGGTTGGCAGCTAAAGTGCTCCTCTTGGCAAACCTTTGCAATTAAGTATCCTGGTTTCATTACTGAGACACAAATACATATTTTTCAATGGAGGCGACAAATAGACTTAATTTGCTGTCATTTTGTGGCTTTAACAAATTCCTGCCAGGATTCAATCTGATGCTTCTCACATTTATGTCATCTAAAGGACTGGACTGTTTTTAAAAAAAAGTTAAGGACGTGAATGGCTGTTCCACAGCTGACAGGTCACAGAGTACACGTCTCTAATTCATTACATACAATATGAAGTGCAAATTTTAAAGCCACAAAGCTTCCTTGGGCACTTTTATTGAGAACTACTGATCATACTGAATGAAGAAAGTCATATTGACTAGAGATTTTGAAAAGACACCTTAAAACACTAAATACATCACATTTCCACAGAAAAAGTATTCAGCACATTTTTCAAATTCGGCACTTCTAGGTCCCTCAGAAGTTAAGGGCCCAACACGTAATTAGTGAAAAGCCATCAGGTGTTTTAAAACTTAAGACCTGAAATCTAATACAGACTAAAATATTGCCACGTGGGATCAAGTGTTCACTTTGTCAGCGGTACAAACTATATTTTACATTAGGATCCTTTGAGTTTTAAGCCCCATTTTAATAAGATATCAAGAGAACCCTGAAAAGGCAAAGCATGACATAGGCACCGAAGGTCAGACAAGTTCTCTTGTTTTCACACCATGGGGGCTTTTTATGCCTTATCGATGGAACACATACCACCATTTGGATAACGCTGAGATCAGCCGTGAGTACAAAGCCTGGATGTGACTCTAATTTTACAAAAGCCTGCTTTTATGGGACAATAACATAGTTTTAAGGATGGCACAGAGCAGAGTTTGAGTGGATTAGTGCCCTAAGTAGAGACCTCTTTCAACTAAGTACCTTGCAGCCCATCACCTCTCATTGTGCACCCAGTCTCACTACATCCCCTTCATCTCTTTCTTTTCCTTTATTTGAGCAGAGGACTTATGCATGGACGTGTTGGCCAGCCTTCTCCTTCCTATGGCCAAAGCCAGCATGGGTGGGTGCCAGAAGCTAGGGGAAGTGTGGCTGCCCGGCACCTTCCTGTGTGGTACGGCTTCTCTCCAAAACACGGCACCCTCGATGCTGCCCTTGAGATCACCTCCACTCATCTCATGCCATTTCCTCCATCAGAAATGTACGTTGATGAATCAAATGAATAATAATTACAGAGCACAAAATGCTGTGGTAGAATTCCTTATCTTTACAACAGCTGATAAGATGCTATAATAGGCATGCAAATCACGGGGGAAGCGTGTGTTACACACACACACAAGTAAAGCCCATTACGTTACAGCCTGCTGGCTACCTCTCAACAATATCTTGTACTGTAAGATCTCTGTTGCTATTCCTGTTCTAAATAAAACAAATATTCAAGCTTTGGTTTAACTAGTTCATAGTTATGCTTTCAAGGGCTTCAACTGAATTTATCCTCTTGCTGCTTTGGTGGAAACCAAACTGTTTCTGAGTATATTCCTCTATAGGTTTTCATATACACTGTGAAGAAAGAGTTGAGTCAGAGTCTCAGAGCCTCCCTAGACTGACACTTCCCAGGGAATGCATTCACTTCACATTAATTAGTTAATTGATAGATTACTGAATCTATATTAGCCTTATTCCAGGAACGAGAATGAAAACAAAACACCCAGGAAGTAACTGGATCTTGGAAGTAAGGTGCTCATAAATACAAACAAGTTTTGCAACACTTAATGTTGTGAGTTGTCTGTATATCCCTCAGGCTCACCTGCCCTGGAGGCAAATCTTTGCCTGCACAGTCAACTCATCTGACACCCCTTAAAAACATGTAGAGCTATATCATTTTGTGTAATTTTTTGCAGCTTTGAGACTAAGAAGTTGCATGCAGTCACACATGAAAGCATAACTCAACACTACTGTAAGGAAAACTTTAGAAGACTGAAGTCTGTGACTAGCAAAAGACCACTGTGACACAGCTGGTCTCTGGCTAAGTCTTGGGGTGGAAAGAAAACCGCAACAAGTCCATTTCGGAGGGTGGGAGCATCAGATTTTGTCTTAGAAGAGATCAAGGGCAGTGGCTGGATTTTCACCCTCACAGCCCTTCACAGCTCTACCCTCTCTCCTTACTTGCTTCAGTTTTGAACCAGCTGTCCTCCATGGTGTTCTCCTCTGCCAACCCCACTGTTTCAGATAACCTGTTTCCCACTCTCAGTGAAGCACAGTTGCTTTGATCTGCCCTAAACGAGCTTCCAGGCCACCACCTAGAGACATGGCATCATCACCATGATGATCATTGCATGGATAGTACAGGACAGGGGATCCCAGAATCACACAACAATTCAGGTTGGAAGGGCCAATATAGTTCAGGGCCTTGTCAAAAATCTTGGCTATTTGGTCATCACAGAGAGAAACAGAAAACCTATGAAGAAACATAGTGCTGAAACGGTGAGATTTCCACTGAAGCAGCAGAGGATAAATCCAGCTAAAATACCAGCTTACAGGTGGCTACCAGCAGATAGTAAGAGGCATTCAGAGAATCAATTTGTTGCAATGGCTGCAGTAAACGTGGAATTTATTGTCTACATAGTTATCTGCACGAACCACATCACCGTGGCTGCCACTGCAGTCTTGGCCTCTTACCTTCTTGGTACTTTGTTTCAAACTAGACTTCAGGTTCTTTTGGTATAAGCTGTGCCTCCTTCTTTGCTCAGCACCAACCTCTGAACCTTTTTGGTACCTAGTGGCCTTAACTAGTACTACCACAAAGTTTTGGGTATATGCATATGGTCAGGAGCATATAATCAAGCTGTGGTTCCCCAGGTCTCCAAAGGCAGATTGTATTGGAAGCAGCCAGCTGGAGGTATAGTAAAAATGTACATTAGAGTTTTGAATGCTTATCTTTTCTTTCATGTTTCTCCTTCCATCAATTTGGGAAAGATGAGTTGGCATTATTAAGAATTCAGACTGTCCAGTTGTGTCATTTTCAGCATCCTTGGGTTTTCTTTCCTCTTTTTATTCCTTATGCTGATGCTTATATACCTCCATTCCCATGAATGTCATTGTTGACTTTATGGCAGAGAAACCAAAAGGAGACTAAACAGAGGGACCAAACCATTGCACCAAAAGGTGATGCTTTCTCCATTTAGCAAGATAAGAACAAATGAAGAGGCAAGATAAGTGCACATCTTGTTTGCAATAAGGCTTATTTTATTTTAGGGATCTTGAATGAGGCTGTCAGAATCATATTGATAAGAATGATGGTTTCAGAGGCTCTGGATATCTGTCTATTAAGCATTAGATCAAAACTATCGATTGATTTCACAAGTCTTCATATTATGAAGAGAAACAGTCATCAGCTGTTGCAGATATAGGTTATAACAGGACCTGAAGGCTAAATTTGAAATAGGAATGAAAAACTCCATCTTCATTTCCCAATCCCTGTTTTATTAGCTTCTTGATTTTTAAGACTCCTCCTATATTGCCTATGGTTGCCATGCTGTAGAATACAATTTCTACAGATGTTCAGCCTGGAAGTTAGAGCAACACAGTATCTCAAAACGGTTGACTAAGGTAAAGACACAGTTTTAGTAAAAAAAAAATCATTTGTAGTGTTGAAGATGGATAATAAACCTTCCCCACATTGATCTACTAAAACTAAGAAGTAGCACTGCACAGGAACAAAATGTTGGAGGCAGTGCTCATGCACCTGTACAGAGTCTTTTTAGAAGAGAGAGATTACCAAAAAGTATTTCCTATTTTTACTTCCTGGCAAAATAGAATGCAGAACCTAATGACCAAGGCTGGGGTTTTCTTTCCAGCTCCAGAGGACTGCATCATAGGGACACCGACTCCTTCCTTTATCGCTGAAAGGAAAACACAGAATAGCTTTTGCCAGCTCTACAGAAGTAGTATGTCTGCAGCTGTGAAAAGCATTTAACACATCTCTTAATTGCTATGTGAGCAAAAACTTGCTGGAATCTTCATATACGGGTGTCACAGGTGATAAATAAAGTAAGATATGATGTAATACAGTGTAGCTTACATGCTTCAGGAAATTCTGGGATTAATTAGGGAACACACTTATTTTTCCTGGAATGCAAAACATGTAAGCAACCAATTCTTTCTTTCAAGACCTGGCTCCAGCCCCTCTTTCTCCTTCCCAGAGTATTACATCTGTTTTGATGGTGTAAAGATGTACCTTACACCACAATCACAAGCTAAAGGCAAGTTGCTATGAAAAAAGAGAGTGGATATGTCTCAATCTCCTCCAAATAAGGAAAAAAAAAAGTATTTTTATATTGTTTAATAAAAGAGAAACCTGACAGGAATTTTCTCAGTTAGTAATTTAATATGCTGACAATTCAGATGCAATACTACAGTGCCCAAAGAAGTTCCTACTTCACAACATCCACCCTGAGGAAACCAAGCCTCATTTACTTTTGATCCTATAGCCACAGAGTCTTGTGCATCATTCACCCCTTGTGCAATTCTTGTAGGAGAACCGTGTGTGTGTGTGTGTGTGTCCATATGGTAACATCCTAGGTCAGATTACTTTCTTTTCTCTGCATTTTGCTTTCTTGCATGTGATTTAACAGGTTGAAACTAAGAAGCAAAATCAGTATCTACATTAACAAAGCAGCACTGGATAGAATTTGTAAACCTCCAGGCCAAGTTGAAACACAGGATCAAATCTGTGTCTGGTATAAAAGTCTATAGTCAAAGAAGAATCAAAGACTTGTGTTGATCTAGATAAGCATCTTTTACGGTGATATTATTTGGCAATTGCATGTTATTCTATAAAAAAACCAAATTTCTTTTCCTTGCAACAATGATGAACATTTACATCAAAATGTATAGAAGTCCCTTTATTTAGGAACAAAACATCACTGGCACCTCCACTCAATTTTTAAGCCAAAGGAACTTTAAAAAAAGAAGCACCACTCTGTCTTGATACCAGGTGCTTTACTGCATACACATAGGTCAGTTAGCCGTCTGCGTAACACTCAAGATACCTAGGAAAGAAATGGTTCCCCCAAAACATGAAAAATGTCTAGTTTTTCTAAAACTGGCCCCATTGTATCAAACTGCACAAGTTTTCCTACAAAGAGAAGCCATCCCTTGTCTGGCAAGTGCATGCATATGTAAAAGGAAGCAGCAAAGTCACTGGTGGGAGTGAGGCAGGCAAAGGCTTGCCGAAATCCTTGTACAGCCTCAGCAAGTCTCCAGGGAATGCACTTACCGGCTGTTCCAGAGGACATAAGAGGAAAGAGCAGGAAGGGCAAGGGAAGAGGTGGGAGGAAATCTCTTCTCCTAATAAGAAATTCCTTCCTGGGCTTAAGAAACCTTTGTTGGTGAAGGTTTAAAATGGTATGAAAGGTTCAAGTTTCTTCAGAAAATTCCCATCCAGTGTAAAAGACTTGATGAAGCCCTTTTGTGAGATAAGAGATGGAGCCTCCAGGGTTTAAATATTTCTAAACAAACTAACACCCAGAAAGCTTGTTTAAGAAATACTAAATTGTTGAAATATTTCAAAAGCATTACAATAGCCGTAACCAACCAAAAAAACCAACAAAAACATCATCCACTACAAAGCTTTCAGAGTATGCTTGGAGAGAGGTACCTTTTTTAAAGTAACAGCAATGTTTGGTGCTGTGACTCTGCATGGAACAATCATTTCTCTTCCCACAGTCATGTGTATTATTTTAGGTATATCACTGTGCATCTCTACAAATGGATTGCCTGTATCTGCAAGAGAAGAAAAAGAAAATGTTAATACCTGAAATCTTAAGAGAGTGTGGAAATTGTAACGGTGCATAGAGCCTTGAAAGAACAGACTAACCCTGTCCCTAATGAAAGCTAGACAAAGTCTTCAAATCAATCTTCTGTTTACTTTTATCTAAGCAAGTTCAGCAAAATATTATTAAGTATTTGAAAATACAGTTATCACTCTATATCAATAGCAGTACTTTGCTATCTCCTTTAAAATCCAGGTCAGTTGAAGTACATTTTTCCCATTACAGCATCATCTCTACTGATGACACATGTGTTTCTTATTTTAGGGCATTTCTATTTTATTATCACTGGGAGAAGTAATTATATGGGAAGTGAGCTGAAATTCACTTATCAAGAAACCCCTACACAGGACATGTTACTGCTCTCTGCAAGGAGATTGATGGGAAAAACTCATGTTGTCTTCACCAGGAGAAAGAATCTACTGTGATTATCCAGCCTTATTTTCAACTCTGAGAGTACGGACTAGTGAGAGTTAACTATTATCCTCCTTCCCACCGTCACAATACCTATATGTCTCTTTTTTAAGTGACAAGGTAAATGAAAATGCCAGGAAAACATTAATTCCTTTTGACTCAATAACTAAAGCTTGGCAGAGTAATTTACCGTCCCTTGAACAATCCCTTTAACAAAGGGCATTGTCATAAATAGCTTGCGCTGGGAACAGGGAACATTGCTGCTGCTATTGTTTGGACCACTTAACAAAGAGGGGCTCAAGCCACAGGCTCTGGCTCCAAATCTTCTTTGCAGGTGTTCAGATCTGAAGGTTTAGTTTGACTCACATCACAGATAGAATACTTCAAAATTCACATAAGGTTTGGTTTTTAACTCTTAAAAAAGTGGAACAGTGGAACATTCAGATCTTAATTCCATGCTTATCTACAGCTCCAGTGTTTTTTCAGGCAAATCCTATTATTTTCACTCAGTCAAAAATCTTACAAATAACAATAGAAATCTTTCTTGGATAAAAAAATGAGTAAAGCTATCAAGAATTGTAATTTTTTAAAACCTGAACACTTTATTCGAGTGTTCTGGTCCCAGACTTCCGCACGTTGACCTATGTTCACTCAAATAGTTCTTCAAATACATTACTTTTGCTTAACTTTCAAAAGTATGATCTGCATTTCCTAGTGTCAGAAAATTGTTCTGCCCTTAGGATCTTCTTTTCTTATTATATGCAATGATATTTTTGTTTGAGACATCAAACAGGAAGAGAAGCAAATTCTAGTCTTATTTATACTGGGGACAGTCCTAAGGTAGAGTATCTCAAATGTACCCCAAGATACAGGAAGTTTTCCTAAAGAGGTTAATAAAACTGTTTCACAAAAATTCTAAAATGAAAGCCACAATGCTTTATTCGATAATAGGTGTTAAATGTCCAATGAGATTGCAAAAGGAACTTATGAGTAATAGAGGATGCGCATGTAATAAAAAATACCCTAAGGACTTGTTAGGCTGACGTTTCCTCTGCAGTATGATTCAAGGAAAGACCAAGTATGAACCTGTTTGTAGCATGGTGAAAAGAACCTTTTTTGTTTCAGGGGCTGCAGCCACAGAATAGGTCACCTGCCCCTTAACATCACCAGACAAACGGATTTACTGCTCCCCAAAGACTCATTTGTCTTTGTCACAAAATTAAGAGCTCCTGCCCAAAACCAGCAAGCTTTGCAAAGTAGTTTCCTGTACCATAATCTCCAGATCGTTACAAGTGTGAGGAAGAGCTGTTCTGGGGACTACCGGTGCTGTCTGCAGACACAGTGTCACCACTGACTGATGCCAATGTCAAGGCAGTGGGGGCTGTGCGTCTCAGACCTCGCAGGATTCCTGCCCATCCGAAGGCAGGGACAGGAAACAAGCACAAAACACCGTGCTTGGCTTTTTTTTTCCTTCTTCTTCAATGGAAATGCACGTTCGCGCCTGGAAAAGTCAATGAAGTGCTCTATAAAAGTCAACTAAACACCCTGGCTGTTCTCGGTAGGCTTTTAAGCTCAGTCACAGCCTTTCTTGGTATACTCCCTGCAGTGGTACGCCAAGGCGTCTCCATGCCCCCGCTATTCGCGTGCAGAGCTCCCATTGACATCACCGGGGACTTCCGCCATGGGCCGGAGGGCAATTGATGGCCCCAAGTGCTCCAAATGTCTTCCTGCTTTTGATTAAAAGAAATACGCATCGTGTTTCCTAGCAGAGTTTTGTTTTCATAATGAATGTGGAGGCTTTTCCTGATTCCCTTTGATTTTATTCTTCTGTCTTAATGGCCGTAAGGGGATACTCTCTGTGCCTCAAGACCAGAATCTGCTGCAGGGTCCACCAGCCTGGATCAGGCAAAGCCAAACCCACAGCAGCACCAGGACAGGTTATGCCACATTGGCAGGGTGTGCCAATGATGTGGAATCCTTCTGTCCCCCAAATAATAGCACTCCTTGCTTCTTTTTTCCTCTTT